ACGCGGGCGGGCAGGGCAGCCGGGCCCCTACCTGCGCCTTGCTGTCGGCTGCCGCGTCCTTCTGCAGCAGCTGGTGGCCCAGGTTGGAGATCTCCTTCTTGATGCCCATCATGATGTCGGAGTAGTTCTCGTAGCGGCGCATCTGGTCGCTGAGGTGCAGGACGCTCTGCTTCACCTGCTCGCTCTCCCTGCTCAGGTTGCTCTTGATGGTCTGTGGGGAGCGGAGGGACCAGGCCCGGTGTAAGGATCCCCCATGGATGTGGCCCCCAGCACCACAGGACCTGGCAGACAGCTCAGTGTGGGGCTGGGGGTCCCTAAGGGGCAGGACGAGGCCGCAACCCGGGTGTGTGGCCGCTCCGGCGCAGACCTACCTCCTCGAGGGTGTTCATCTGGGCCACCACCTTGCTGATGTAGGAGTGGACCTTCATGAGGTCCATGCTGTAGAGCGTCCCCTCCAGCAGGTCCACCATGGACTGCAGCTGCAGAGGCGGTGCCAGGGCTGAGCGGGGGGCGCAGGCACCAGCCCCGCGCAGAGCCACGGAGCACGCGGTACCTTGAAGAGCTCGGGCGCCTGCTTCTTCATCTTCTCCATCTTCCACTCGTTCTCGCAGGGGTTGAGCGAGGAGGGCGGCGCGGTGCAGGAGCACTTGCAGTCGGCCCCGGAGCTCACCGTCTCCACGGTGTAGAAGTCCTCGGCACGCAGGCTGCCGTCGCGCGCTCGCCCGCAGGCCTCCTTGCTCAGCGGCCGCAGGATGCACTTGCAGCGGCAGTCGGAGCCCTCCGAGGTCATCCGCACCTGCTCGCCCTCGCCCAGCGCCTGCGCGGGACACGCTGCGTGGGACCCTGCCCAGCTGCAGCCCCAGTGCCGGGAACGTCCCTCGGTCACTGCTGCGGAGCCACATCCAGCAGCTGCTTGTGCCCGGCCCCGGGGACGGGAGCTGAGCGTCTGGCAGCGGCACCAAGGGCCGCTCGCTCCACTTCACACCCCTCCATGGGAAAAATCCATGCCGGAAGCCGGGCTTTGGCCCGGCTGCTGACCTGGAAAAACTGGCTTATCCGTGCCCAGGGCTCCTGTCTCCCCGGCTCCGTGGCTGGCTGGGGACTGCGGGACGGGGGGAGCAGCTTTGGGCCGCCGGCCCCCCCCGGGCGGCCCC